CACACATATACATAGTTTCAAATGATATATATATATATATGTATATATATATATATATATACACACACACACACACACACACACACACACACATATACATAGTTTCAAATGATATATATATATATATGTATATATATATATATATATACACACACACACACACACACACACACACACATACATATATACACATACATACATATACACACACACACAGAAGTACTTCTTTACATAACTGACATCTGGTACTAAGATAAAAGGGCTACATTTGGAGTATAGTCAATCATGGGCATAATTGTGTGGAAAATGGGATCTTTTCCATCCCTCCTTCTGCAGTGGCATGTGCCAAAAGAGGAAAGATGTTGCTCTGAATCATACAATTTTTTCTGCCAGATAAGGAAAATGATAAATGAACCAACTTGTCTGCCTTTATGCTTTACTATAATTTGTAGTCATAATACACTCAAGAAGTTATACATGACACAATATCTGCTTGAAACAATAAACAGTTTTGTCAGAAAAGCTGTATTATGGCTTGTTCAAAAGTATATATTTCTGTTTCTACTTGGTTTCTTCTTTGTAATATGTAAGCCTTTCATATTCTTATAGCATCTATTCTGCTTTAAACCCCTTTGCAGATCTTGTATAAGGATTTTCAGTTGTTCAACTAGTAGCCATAATTAAAATTTAATTCCCAATGTCAGAATCTCTGGAAAAATCCATATTAGAGTGTTTCTGCAGAAACCACAAACAAATTGCAGACTTCTGGAGGGGGCAGTTTGCTAATATTTTTGGCTTGCTATTGGCAGGCCAACTAGTACCTTTTCCTTGCAGAATAATAGGTCTGAAAAGGTTTGAATCTTTAATGCAAACTTTCAGGATTTTTTTTAAAGAAAACTTTCAGGTTTTTTTTTTTAAAGAAAGGCAGGTTTTGATGTATGAGCATGTGAGAGATGCCCAGGAGAATGCAGTACTCGATAGCTGTGAGTAGACTAGACAGAGTTTGAAGTTACAGTTGTCTGGATATGAACTTTTTTTCCTTCTCTTTCTTAGGTAATATGTATTCTTTGCTTCCATAATTACTGTGCATTTTTGTCAGCTTAAAATATCTTTCTTTATATATAGGTTGGTCTTTGGGATGCTGTATCCTGCTTATTACTCCTACAAAGCTGTAAAAACAAAAAATGTCAAGGAATATGTGAGTACTTAATTTCAATATTTTTTCAGTATTAACTTTTATTCAAGTTTTGAGTGTGTTTTATATACTAGCTTCAACAATAGTTATATGGATTTTAGCTTGTGAAGAGAAGTTGATCATGGTAATTTATAATACATTGAAATCATGAAGTTAAATGAAGTGTTGATGTTACACTAGTTGGTTTTTAAACGTGGATGATAAATTGAGGAGTAATGAGAGGAACAGGTCCTTTACAAACACAACCCCTCTTTGCTACCTTCCTGCTCTTTCTGATGCATATTTTCTCCTTGCAACTGTCACAATGATTAAATGATATAATGGCAAAATATTAGCTAAATTTGAGGGCATAGATGTGCTGGGACTTCTTGCAGGGAGTGCAGAGAAGGGAAGAAAGCCTATGCTGCCCATGAAGTTCTGCATTAGCATGGAAGGTGATGGTTCTACCAGCTGCTTCTTCATGGATCTGTTTGTAGAGATAAGCAGACAAAGTGATTTTTCCAAAGTGATTTTTTCAAAGTTTTGGAAAGTGCTTCCAAAACACAAAAAAGCATATGCTCAAGAAATATATTATTAAAAACGTAGGCGTATGAAAAAGTCACAGTGGAAATAACCTATGCATAAAAATGTGAATATTACAGAAAGCAAAGTGCATATGCCCTTCAATCATTACAAAAAGGAATAGAATGAGTTCATACATTGTGCTAAGCCATGGTTTACTTAACCAAGTAATCAAACCTATCCTAGGATGATTAGTTGAACATGATAAATTGGCAGTGATGTAATTATTTTTAATCTTTGCCATATTTTAATTAAGAACTGCTTAGCATGCTTCTGTCTCTGATAATCTAACAATAAATTAGTTTTTCTTCTTTATCTGTGTGTGTGTGTTGAAAGTGTCTCTACGTATCGTTAGAAACTATCATAGTATTTTACTTAGGATGTTGCATAGAATTCAGGTATGCCAGAGCTGGTGATATTTCTGATTTGCATGTTACTCTGACATGTCAGTCAATTAAGTTTGTTCCAGAATGCAGACTGTCCCACTCTACCCACAAATCCCTCAAGCAGACCTAATTTTCTCTACTTTTCAGCATTGTGGGGAATGAAGCTTGGGTTGCTGTCTACATTTGGGAAAAGCAGCTGCAGCCAGGCAGAAATGCTTTTGACCCCCACTTCCCCAAGGATAAGCTCAGCCCATCCTTTCTCCCAAAGGGCAGTACGTATAAGTTTACAGTCCCAGAAACTTGAGAGGAGATGGGCTCATTCATCCCCCACTCACAGTTTACTTACAAGCATCCACGTCAGCGTTTCAGGTGTTTGGCTAATTGAGCCACACCCTGGCGTTTTTAGGAACGTGCTGACGCCCATAGACAGCTTCACCCCATCCAGGCCCTTAGCCTACGAAAGTGTGGGCGTGTAGGAGAAAAAGCAACAAGCAGACTAGGAAGCGGTAAGCGACGTCTGGAATGTATGACTATTACAGGCAAGCAAGAGAGCTATCAGTCAACTGCCAGGACCACAAGCTATGGTAAGCAGCCCATTGTGGTGTGATTCCTGCCTGGAGCTTGTCTTAGAGCTTGGCCTGAAGCTCAGTAGCAACCAGAAGAGGAGCAACCACACTGAGGCAGCACCTAATCTCAACAAGCCAAGAACTTTTGGAGGGAGGCAAAGGTTGTATGCCACTTTACAGACTTTGTTATAAGGACTAACCATCAAAAACTTACTTATGTGGCTACATCAACTTGCAAAGCCTAGGAGGGTGGAGTTAACCTAGGGCAACAGGAAAGGTGTGTGCTGTAATAAAGTATTTTGCACAGTTATCTTCTATGCTGTGGTTGTCTAGTCCTTAGAAAGCAACACTCACAAGCATCCAGACTCTCAATCATTCACCAAATGGATAAATTTGATTGATTGGATTGATTGATTGATTGATTGATTGATTTGATTTATATGACTGCCCAAATTGCAGTGTGACTCTGGGCAACTTATAATTGTAGAAGCATAAAAAAAAACACGAATAAAATGAAACACAATAAAATACAATAAACATCCAAAACAGGAACAACACAAAACCCAGAATTAGGAAAAAAAAAATAGAATAACCAAAGCCAACCAACACATATTCTGCTCAAGACCTTTCATTCTCAGTGGGCTCATCCCGTGTTTTGGCCCAATCCTTGGAGAAGAACCAGGTTTCATAGTCTTACAGAAGACAAATAGAGTCAAGGTCATTTGAATCTCAGAGGGAACATTCTTCCATACAGCAGGGGCTGCCAGGTGACATTCTTTTGCAGAAGGGCCCTGAAGGATGCAAAGCCGTTCAGATCTGATGGGAAGAGCCAGCACAGCCAGGGTGTAACTCAGAGAAAATCCAAGCATTTTTTTTCTGACAGATGCCTAGAGTAGGCTTCACAGCATCCTTGTATATGTTATTTTGGTTCCTCCTTCCTCAGGAGAAATAGGGTTACCTTAAACAAGGTTGCCGGCCAGCTGTTTGTGGATGTGGTGAGAATGGAAAAATTGCCTTATTGCCACAAGCTTTAATCCATAAGGTAGGCTCTTGCCCATGCTCAGATTCATTCCTCATCTCTCACCAGTGCCATTCTAGGTGTCTCTTCTATCATTTTATCTCCTGAAGTTCCTCAGAAAAACAAGGAGATATATGAACAGAGAGAGGCCGCAATCCGAGGTATGACTGAGTCAAGGCCATGGCTACTCCTTCGTTCCATGTGGTGATGAGGGCCTTGGTAGAAGTGCATGTCAGAGCTTCAGGAACAACCTCAACAATTCAACAGGGTCCATCAGACACCTGGTGCGAACCAATTAAATTAGTCTTTCTTACTTGCAGCGAGAAGTTGCTGCAGAGACCTCTAGAGCTGACAGAGAATGATCTGATCATGGCAAGAGATTAATGGTAATATCTCCCAACTCCAGATCATATCACCACTAAAACCAAATCTAATGTGTGATCACTGTGAGTTGACCCCATATCCACCTGATTACTATATACCACATCCTTGGTTACTATGGTGGACCATGAATTCCTAAGTTGCTTCTGAAGCTATGCCCAGAGAGATCACCCCTCCCTGCAAGTCTGGGGAACTTGACTGCCAGTCCAGCATGTCATCAAGTACCTCAGGTATGGAGGCTGCTACACAATGGAGAGGCTGGTATATTAGCAGCAATTTATATAACAGTAACTCTAAACTGTACTTTTCAACCTTTCATTATTTTCTTTAAGACAGTAAACCCATGGTCACCTTTATCCAAGGTAACTGAAAAGTCTTCAGTCTAAGAGATTGAAGGTTGATATTTCTAAAGCCATAAGCTTTTTAGAATTTATCTTGGAAAATTTTTAAACATGCTAATCTTGCATTTGAGTTCTTCTCTATAACTTGAGTGACTTAAGGTCCCAAATGCCAAACATCAACTTCCAGACTCTTTAAGAAAAAGATATATTTACAATTCATTAATTCCTGGTAGAACTTCAACCAATATAATATTTGTACAGATTACACAGGAATCCAGGACATGAGGCAAACAGACTCCTTTGTGTTCTTATACTCCAGTCAGCATTAAGGGTTGATTGTAAGATACAGGATGCATATCTAGTTGAGGAGATGAAGTATTCTTCTTTTGGGCAATACAATTCTTTCTACTAAATTTTGTGTAGTATCCATAATTATGTGTATAATTATAATCACATAACTACTCTCTGCTTCACTGCAGCTACCCATAGTTCTTCAAAAGCTTCTTTTGATGATGATGGTTGTAGTGTGGGAGAATTCCAATTTCTATCTATTCTCTTCCACTCCAGCCCCATTTTATAGATCTGCATTTTAAAAATGCTTTGGTTTTATAAAGCTCTACAAATATGCACACACCTGAACATGAGAACACAAGAACCCTGCACAAGGGCAAAAGAAAGATTAAAATAGCAGTCAACAGTGCAGTAAAGAAGCCTTAATAATACGGGCCTAGAAATCATTTTAATAAGAAATTCTCTCGAACAATGTGAAAATTGGGTGGGAGAGGGCAAAGACAAAAGAGAGAAATAATCACCTCTGCCCACTTTATCCTTTCAGCGGTAGCTTCTACTAGATTTTAGACTTTTAGGAAGGGTTGGGGTTTTTTGCAGAATAAATGCTCCATTGCTATGTCCAGCTAGGGCGTGTAGTCAACAATTAAAATGAGAACAATAAAACAACATGAAATAAAAAATGCAGAATAGAAAATTAGCTATTGTTCAGGCTATTCTAAAATATATATAAAATATGTCATCATTGCATAATACCATAGAAGCTAATAGTTAGAATTTCTTACAATTTTTAATGTCCTTTAAAGAATAAAATATCCTTTAGTACAACTGCTTGCTTGGTTCTGTAATCAAAAACCACTTTCTAAAAGAAGCATAGCTTCTGGTTAAAAACCTTGATTTTTATCTAGAAGGACTTGAGAGGACTGCTTATCTGGCATGGATTGGAAGAGGCTTCTCTACTCTTAAACTAACAACTTGTTTATGTTTCCAATGATTCATCATTCATAAAAGATAAAATTTAAAGCACAAGGTAGAGTTATCCAGCTTGAATTCTGTAGTCTTTTTCACATACTTGACCTCTTAAATAGAGAAATACAGCATTTTGGTTCTGAATCTGAAAATGAGGTTTGGGTGTATATGCTGAACCTATCAGTACCCCTTAACAGCTGCCTCTCTCCTGGGCCCTCATGTTAGCCACGATGACACCTTCTTACTATAACAAGTGAAAAGGAAATATATCTAACTACACTGTCTTATTTTAAACGGCAACTGGAAATGTGCTGCTTTATTCTGACATTTGCAAGGAAACGTGCTTAGGTTTAAGGAGCTTTTTTATGAAGTTGTTTTAATTACTTCTTTCATCATTTTTATGAAAGCTTTAAAATAAACTGTAGATTTATCAGTTTATTTTAATTAAAGATTGTTTTGCTATTTTTTCATATGTACTGATGCCTAGTCATTG